ACCTCACTGGAACAGATAAAATGGATGCTGGGGCCCTCCTGGAGTACTTCAGCCCTGTCACCGAGTGGCTTCAGCAGCAGAACAACAAGACCAATGAGGTGCTAGGCTGGCCTGAATTTGACTGGCGTCCTCCTATCCCTGAAGGCTACCCTGAAGGCATTGGTAAGGCCACAGCTCCATCCTGCATCTGGGGAGAGGCAGGAAGGACATCACTAACCCACAGGCAGTCCAATGCTGGGGGAGGTCTCTGCTATGAATGGGTAAGGTCTCCATGCCAGGAAAAAGAGAGAATAACCAGTTTCACCATCAGCTTTATGTGGAGTCCCACAAGGTGTTGCTTCCTAGGGCATTGCATCTTTGAAGTTGGTGCCATTAGCCAACCATGTCACATTGCGTTGTCTGGACCTGGGGCTCTGCTGCTGAAGTAATGTTTTCAGCCATGATGTAACAGGTCACCTGTTTTCTGCTGCATCCTTTCTGTCCAGGTGGGAGGGTCTATGGCATGCAGTTTGTCCTGTTATTCCCATCTCCTGTCCCAATAGGGTATCCCAGCAGTACCCACCTACCCCCATTCCTTGGCTCTTCCTAGCGCTTTTCTCCAAAGGGGCAGCAGAGCAGGACCTCAGTCCACTCTGAGGTTGTGTGGCATCTTCCAAAGGAGCCTGCACTTCTGGCGGGGGCTCAGCCACAGCTGAGCCATCCATCAGGGTGATGCTCTTGCAAAGAGAAGGGCCCCCTTGACTTTCCTTCTCTTCTTCTGTTTATTTCTTCCTCTAGATAAAATAGCAGATGAAGTACAGGCTAAAGAGTTCTTGTCTGAGTACAACAGGACAGCCGAGGAGGTGTGGAACGCTTACACTGAGGCATCCTGGGCCTACAACACCAACATCACTGACCATAACAAGGATATCATGGTACAGGAATGACCTTGGGCTGTGTGGGAAGAAACAACAGCAAAAGCAGGCAGTTGGTCCCCAGGGCACATTGCGGATGAGCTCTGAAAACTAGGGCAGCCTCTACCCCTTGCCAAAGGGAAATCTTCACACCCGGGAGGTGCTTTTTCCATGAAAATCCTGGTCATGCCAGGAGGTACCCACTGGAGTACCCATTGGGAGGTTGTCAGTCATCCGTGGCAGGTGGTGTTTCTGATGATTGGCTGTGTCTGAAAGATCCCCTCTGGGTAAGCCCTCTCCTGTCCCCTCCTGCCCTTGCAGCTGGAGAAGAACTTGGCCATGTCCAAGCACACCCTTCAGTACGGCATGAGAGCCAGAGAGTTCGACTCCACTGACTTTCAGGACCAAAGTGTCACACGCATCCTTAAGAAGCTGAGTGCCATTGAGAGGGCAGCCCTGCCTGAAGATGAGCTGAAGGAGGTGAGTTGCAGGACAGAGCAGGAGAGGGTGTCCCTCGCCACCACCCTGTGCAGAGTCATGGGTTTCTCCCTGCTTCTAGGAAACAGAAGTGGGCAGCTGCCCCTGCCCTTGTACAAAGTGATAATGTGGTACCTTCTACGCAAAGCCAAGATCCTTGCCTCCAGGGTTTTCTATCCAAAGGTTGCACATCCCAGCCTGCAGCAGAGCCTACCTGTATGCATGACAATGGTACATTGCAGGCTGGCCCTGGCCCTTCCCATACTGACTCCTGTGAAAGATGAGAGCTTCACCGCCTTCTGACCCAGGAGAACAGTGTGGAAGTGGCAAGAGGAAAACATGTGGAGACATCCCCCCAGGCTGCAGCATTCTCTGAGAGCAGAAACAAGGACAACCAGCTCACATAATCCAATTTCCTTTTCAGTACAACACACTCCTCTCAGATATGGAGACCACATACAGCATCGCCAAGGTCTGCAGGGATAACAAAATATGTCACCCCCTGGATCCTGGTAAGATCTAGTAGGATGTCTGGTAAGCTCTCTGAGGCAGGCCCAGAAAAGAGGGATTCTTCACAGAGGCATGGAAAAAGTCTATGACAGGGTCTCTCCCTCTTCTCTGCTATGGCCCCTGAGCAGCATGTTGGGTCTAGCATTGTTACATCAGGCTAGCCCATGCAACAGTATCACTGTGGCTTCATTGCTCTCTCTTTAGACCTCACGGACATCCTGGCCTCCTCACGGGACTATGACGAGCTCCTCTTTGCCTGGAAGGGCTGGCGGGATGCTTCTGGGAAGGTTATCAGGAACAAATACAAGAGATACGTGACACTAAGCAACAAGGCAGCCGTGCTAAATGGTGAGTGGCCCACTCCCTCAGAGACCCGCTGAGGCCTCAGCACCCTGTGGGCAGTGGATTGTGCTGCTGGTCCAACTCAGGGCCAACATCTCGAGGGCACAGAGGTCCCAGTGATGTAACAGAAGCCACATAGACATGGAGGGACTTGTGATGATCTCTTGCCTGAGAAGGGCAGGATCTGATGGCTTCTGTTCTTGCCCTATCACAGGCTACACAGACAATGGGGCCTTCTGGAGATCCCTCTATGAGACCCCCACCTTTGAGGAAGATGTGGAGAGACTGTATCTGCAGCTGCAGCCCTTGTACCTCAACTTGCACGCCTATGTACGCCGAGCCCTCTACAAAAAGTATGGCCCAGAGCGTGTAAACCTGAAGGGTCCCATCCCTGCTCACCTGCTAGGTAAGGGCTTTGCTGGGGCCTAATCCAGCAGTGCATTTCTGGTCCAGCCTTCAGCAAGAGCTGTGTCTCCCACCAGCCAGTCTGCTCAAGTCATGCCAAGAGTTGAGGCCAGTCTCCAGACCCAGCCTTGTGCTCTCCTCTTGTCTGTGCAAGATTACATTTCCCTGCCTCCCTGGGGGACAAACCGAAGCATGGAGCAATGTAGCTCCATTTCTGAGCCAGTGCATGACTTGTGGTCCCTTTGCAGTATGCCTTAGCACCTTAGCACCACTAATCAATGCATTGTTCCCACTGTCCCCACTGAGGCTGTTCAGCTCCCATCAGCCCTGAGTGGGGACTGCAGTGCTGCTAGGGAACGTGGGATCTCTGGCTGAGGACCCAAACCCCCATGAAACAGGTCTGCAGGGGCTGATCTCTCCCAGAGAACAGGCAACACACTCAGCATGACTTGCCTCTCTCTCATGGCTGGGCTCTTGCTTGCTTTGCCCATGTGCAGGCAGCACAGATTGCAGACAAGGTGGCCCAGCTCATGTAGGTGTCGGGAGTAATTCATTGCCTTTGCTCTCCTCTCCCTGTCTCACTCCTGCATTTCCTAGGCAACATGTGGGCCCAGTCATGGTCCAACATTTTTGACCTGGTGATACCCTTCCCGGATGCCACCAAGGTGGATGCCACCCCAGCCATGAAAAAACAGGTTAGTGCTTTTTTACTCTGCTCCTGGGAATGCCCCTGGGGCCCAAGCACCCCTTGGCCTTTGTGACTGCTCGAGTTACCTACTGCTTTCTGACCTGGAAACCATCACTGATGGGGGCACACCTCGCTCCCATTGCACCAGGCAGACCCTCTGCCCTCTGTTCAGTCATGTAGCCTCTGAACATAGAAACCTCATAGCTATTTCTATTTCCTGCCTCTTTGCTCCTAGCCCTCTAAACTGGCTCTTTCTAGCTAGAAGGGCCCTTGTCTGTGAATCGACCTTGTCCCTTTGAAGGACAGTGTCTAGATCTGATGCTGCAGAAAACCTCTATGCCTCATCCTCTCTTCTCTCCCCACCGCTGGCTATGCTGAGGGCTGGATCCATTTCTAATTGCCTCCAAAAGATCTCCCCATGCCCAAAGCAATAAAGACTGTTCCTGGCCCTCCATCCTTCCCCCAGCACCCCCAGGAGCCCTCATTGCCCCTCACCTTGTCCTTCTTCTGCTCCTTCCACAGGGTTGGACACCCAGGAGGATGTTTGAAGAGTCGGACCGTTTCTTTACATCTTTGGGCCTAATCCCCATGCCGCAAGAGTTCTGGGATAAGTCCATGATCGAGAAGCCAACAGACGGGCGGGAGGTGGTGTGTCATGCCTCAGCCTGGGACTTCTACAACCGCAAGGACTTCAGGTACCTGTGGGGAAGGAGAGGAGTATCTAGCAGCCATGCTGGGAGGAGATAGTGGTGTCTTGGCAGAGACATGGCCTGATGCCTTTGCTGTGTCTCTCACCCTGTAGCTTTGGCAGCCCTGCACTGATGTTGCTACTGGTACCCAAGATGCCGGCATCGCTGGCAGGAGCCCACATGGCAGATGGAGGGCAGAGCAAGGGCTACCTTGCCCTGGAGGATGGAAAAGCCAATGTGCTGGGGAAAGGAAAGGGCAGGGATGGCAGAAGAGGCAGAGAGCAACCCCATTGAACAGGACCAGCACAGGCTGGCATGAGACCCAGGGCGTGTGTATATAGGAGGGGATGCCAAAGGGAAAAATAGCACAAGGGGGTGCAATCAATCCTAGACCTTTTCACCTCAGCACTGCTCTCTCTTCTCTCTCCTTCCCACATTTCCTGGTCCAGGATCAAGCAGTGCACAGTGGTGAACATGGATGACCTAATCACGGTGCACCACGAGATGGGCCATGTCCAGTACTTCCTGCAATACATGGACCAACCCATCTCGTTCCGTGACGGGGCCAACCCCGGCTTCCACGAGGCTGTCGGGGATGTCATGGCTTTGTCTGTCTCCACCCCCAAACACTTGTACAGCATCAATCTGCTGGACGAAGTCACAGACAACGAAGGTGAGCTGGCAGAGGAGCATCACACTACAAATGAGAGATTCCTGGGAAGAGCTGGAAATGGAGAAACTGCAAGAGGGTCAGGATAGGCTGAACAGGGTGGAAGGGGTCAGGGACATGCATGGTGGCTTTGCATGCATGGAGGGGACAGGACACTGATGAGGACACCTTCCTCTTGGGCAGGGTGATACGTACACTACAGAGGGGCAGGAGGCAGCACTGCTTTGCTAATCCCTTCCCATCCTGGGCAGAAAGCAACATTAACTACCTGATGAGCATCGCCCTGGACAAGATCGCCTTTCTGCCCTTTGGCTATCTCATGGACCAGTGGCGCTGGAAGGTGTTTGATGGACGGATCAAGGAGGACGAGTACAACCAGCAGTGGTGGAACCTCAGGTGCACTCAGGGAGCTCAAATTTGGACACCCCCCCCGCTTTGGTGCTGGGGCCTTGGCCGTAGCCCTGCTGTATAATTTCCCTCTGCAACTCAGGTGGCCACAACGAGACATGATGGCATACATAACCCCCTCGCCCTACCTACCCTCATGCCCCACCCTGTCCTCTCCTGGCTCATCCCTACTTTTCCCTCACCATCTGGACTCTGCCTCAGTACCTCTCCACCCCAAGCTTTCCCCTGTGAGCCCCCTCCCTACTCCTTGCACTGGACTAATTCTCACTCTCTGGGCCAGGCTGAAGTACCAAGGCTTGTGCCCACCAGTGCCCAGGTCTGAAGATGATTTTGACCCTGGGGCGAAGTTCCACATCCCTGCCAACGTCCCATACATCAGGTGAGCCAGCTGGACTGGAAGGGGTTGCCTTGAATAGGTTATCCCCTGCAGAAGCAGGATCCCTGAATCAGACCCCACTGAGGGTGGCTTCTTTCACGTCCAAGGAGAAAACTGCCCACCCTGAATGTACTGGACAGCTCAGGGGATCCAAGCAGAGGGTCAGGAGGGGAAGGTGGATGGATTGGTTGGTGGTGGGGGGGGGGGTCATTTCTCCCTGTCCAAGGAGGATCAGCTCATCCCTTCAAGTATAAAGCACATGCTAAAGGGAGAAAGAGGATCAGGAGAGACTTTACCATATTGATGCCGGTCAAGTCTCCAAGGCTGGGGATGCTCCTCAGGGCTGGAAGAGTGCAGCTCGGGGACAATGGGATCATGTCCCCCTGCACATCCACTAACAGTGACTGGACACTGGGAGAGACATCTCCAGCGTGATGCTAGAGTCTGTTCCTCATCCTCCTCTGGCCTCTCCAGGTACTTTGTCAGCTTCGTGATCCAGTTCCAGTTCCACCAGGCGCTCTGCAAAGCAGCCGGGCACACAGGCCCCCTGCACACATGTGACATCTACCAGTCCAAGGCAGCTGGGAGCCTCCTGGGGTAGGTGTGCAGGGCAGAGGAGAGCCAAGACTAATTTATGTGCCTAAATACTTTAAGCTAGCCAGGCCTTAACCCTGCTGGCAAGAGCAGAGGGCTCACAGGCTTCTCAGGGCTGGGATGCAGCAGCCCACCCTGCTCAGGGGCCCTGGGTTGGGCTACCCTGGTCCATGGCCCTGGGGTATAGGTGGCGGGGCCCCAGGCTGAGTGCAGTGGCTGGGATTGCAAAAGCAGCCACTAGATGGTAGCTGGGACCCTGGCAGGAGGAAGGCTCCCACCACCACTACCTGTTCCTTAGGGAAAGCAGCTCCCTTCCCCCGAGAAAAACCCCTGTAAAATTAACCCTTTCACCCATAAACCAATCTACATCAAGCCAGACAGACTGGGGGGTCTTTTATCTATGTTAAAGTCCCCAGCACACATGCAGCCTCCTTCCCCCTGCTCTGCACCCTCACAGCCCCATGGGTGCCAAGGGGGCACGGACTGCACCCAGGGGTCACTAGCATCAAGAGAGCCAAGCCCTGGAAAGAAAAGGCAAGAGCTGGTGGTGAAGAGGGATCCGGGGTCTCTGAGGAACCCACTGGAGCCAATTTCTCCTGCCACAGGGAGGCTCTGAAGCTGGGTTTCAGCAAGCCATGGCCTGAAGCTATGGAGCTCATCACCGGGCAGCCCAACATGTCGGCCGACGCCTTGATGAGCTACTTCGAGCCACTCATGACCTGGCTGGCCAAGGAGAATGAGAAGAATGGGGACATCCTGGGCTGGGCCGAGTACGACTGGACTCCTTATGCAGGTACGTGGCATTTGGCCAGACTGGGTCAGACCAAGCTCAAGTCAGAGTTCAGTCCTTGACAGGGCAAGGATAGGGCACACAGATGATGTTGAGTTTTACCTGGTCCAATGTCCCTTCCTCACCCCCAAAGCCACAACATATTTGGATGGTTCCCCTTGATGTCATGGGGAGCTGAGAGTCCAGAGTGGGTAAGACATGCTGGGACCTTGCAGAACCCAGCAAAGGGACAGCAAGGGCCGGCTACCCAACGTGCCATGGCACAGAGCCACCAGCAGCAACCCTCTACCTCATTTCTTGATTTTTTTTTTCCAGCTACTCAAGCACAGGGCAGCCCTGACCAAGCAGATTTCCTGGGCATGTCCCTGGCCAGCAGTCAAGCCACGGCAGGTGGCTGGGTCCTACTTGCCCTGGCACTCATCTTCGTGGTCACCACCATCATCTTGGGCGTCAAATTGTTCTCATTCAGGAGAAAGGCCTTCAAATCCAGCTCAGAAATGGAACTGAAGTAAGGCAGCTCCCAGTGGGGCAGAGCACACGTGCTGGCACCACGCAGTGATGCCTTGTGCAAGGGACACAGGTGCGTGCAGGTTCACACGCAGTCCAGTGAGACTACGGGTTTCACCAGCCCAGGAACTCCTCCTTCCAATCAGGTCAGACATTTTTTTCACTATGCAAGAGCCAAAGCAGAAAATCACCTATTTATTTGTCAACGCCTGCATTGTGGGAAGAGAAACTCAGGCCCTGTCAAGGGGCGGCCCTGCTGCCAGCAGACACTGAGCCATCCCAGGGTGCCCAAGGGAAGCATCCCAGAAGGGTGGGATGGGGAGGGAGCAGTGTTCCCCCAGCACCCACCAGCCATTTCCATACCTCTGTGGCAGGGCAGGCCAAAGCCGAGGGGGCTTTGAACGAGCAGAGGGCAGACTGGGGGGAGACAGACTGTTTTCTACCTCTATCCACCCCCAGTTTGCCCACTGCTGGGCTCTTTGCTTGCATGGATGAAAAATAAAACCCTGTCTTGTTATCCCCAGAGCAGTGACTCTGCTCCTTCTTGCAGGTGGAAAAAGAGCAGCAGGAGCTGGTATCTCTAAGAGGCTGCACTCTCCGGCAGGAAAGCTGCCACCCAGCCCTGTGCAAATACAAACCCCAGGGGACCAGCCTGGCTTTAAGGCAGTCCCCACCAGCACCTACCCTCTCCCCATCCTCTGAAGCCCTCAGCATCCTCACCCAAGGGCAGCCCTGTCCTCCGGCCTGTGCTCACAGGCTTCCCATGGGGCACATGCTTAAGCAAGGGGATGAATCAGGCCCACTGGAGGCCTGGATTTCCAGGGATGTCCAGGTCAATTTGTTAAAAGGGTTGGGGGGTCAAATGGGAGGTCACCAAGCCCAAGGAGAGAACAGGTTCAAGCACCACGCTGCTACGGCAACTTAGCCTGGGGAGGCCACCCTGAGCCACAGCGCGACCCAGGCTTTGCCTTGACAGCAGCCACAGTCATTTATGTAAGAGCAAGGGGGGCTCTGAGGTCTGCAATCACCTCCTGCCCCTGATTATCTTGGGATCAGCCATGCCTGAAGCTTTTTTCCCCCTATCTGTCTTCTGCTTCTGTAAATAAAACTTCGTATTTGTTCTGCAGTGATTAGGTGCAAAATTAATCCCAGCCTGGGGATTATTGCAGCCTTAAAGAGCCAAGATCTGCAGCAGGCCTGAGTAGCAGGGGAAATGAGAATATGGGACAAGATCCAGCCCTTGCCCCTCCAAGCTGACAGCATCTGCCCTCAGTCAGGTCTTAAATAGGGAAAGTGAGGCCCAAGAGGGGCTCTTGGCACTTCTGCTGCAGCCCAGAGAGGAGCAAAGCACAGGTGTCTGTCTGCCCACCCACGCTCGAGTTTTTGTTTGTTTGTTCTAAATCCTCCGCAGTGCTGAGCACACCCACGGAGAGGTGGAAACACAAGCCATTTGTCTTTGTGCCACGGTCCCTGCAGGAGCACCAGGCACAGCAGATGACCTGGGCCCGCATGGGAAACGGCTGCTCGTGCTGGCTGCCAACCGAAACACCTGCGCTCGGCCGAGAGTTTGCCCACAACGGTGATGGGCGCTGAGCCCGATGCCATGAAACCTTCCCTCCCACCTGCCCAAAGCACAGCACACGGCAGGCACCTTTGCACCTCGGCTTGAGCACAGGGTTAAAGGCCCAGGTCCCTGGCCAGGACGTGTCTGTTTTATATCCTGGCACCCTGGATCACCTCCCCACCCTCTTCCCAGCCAACACGATGTCCCTGCTAGCTCACAGAGCACAGACCTGATCCAGCAAGAGTCAGGTTTGAAAACAAGCAAGTTTGGTTTGGAAACCAGGCTGTTACGGGTATGCTCCGTCTATCTGTCAGCTCCTCACCTGCTATTTAGAACTCCACGGCTCCTCTCTGCCCCACTGCACAGAGGAACAGCGGTCTCCAAGATCACAAATTTCCTACAAGTTTCATGAAAATTGCTTTCTGGATAGAAGAAGGACCCATGCTATAAGCATTCTCACTCAGGGTGTGTGATACAAGCTCAGTCCTAATTAGACATCAGAGAACCCACACCTGAGCTATCCCCTGCCATGGAAAGGGACACTGCTCCAAGGAGGGGTGATGAATGCACAGCAGTGCCCTTCTGACCCTGTTCCATCAACAACCTGTAAAGGTGCCCTAGTTTTGGCTGTAGTACTTTCTTATTCCCAAGGAACAAGTCCCATCAGGGCCTGTCTATGGGGGAAGGGCAGGGGAACACAGAGGTGTGTGACCCCCAAAATCTCCCACAGCAGCAGATCTCACCCGTGCTCCAAGGAACAGGGGCATCTCACCCGAGCAGACCAGCCCATCCGGGAGACAGGGCTGCAGATAAGGCTACCTGCAATATAGGTCCAACATCCATCCAGGAGATGGGGCTGGAGACAAGGCTACCTGCAACACAGTTCAAAAAGGGCTCACGGCCCAGGCCTGAGCTTAAATAGAGCTGCTGGGCCCTGGGCAGAGGGGATGGATGGAGGCCCTAGGTGAGGCTTTTCAGTGCAATTAAGGCCTATTACTCTTCTCAAGGCTGTGACAGCCAGTGATAAATACTTTACAAGATACCTTTAAAATGAAAATGATTTCTCTTCCTCATTGTGATAACATCTGGAGAGCTCTTTACTGTCTTCTGGCTCTTGCATCATGATTTCCGCTGAAATTAGGCGACTTAGCGAAACTGCTCCGGGGGGGGACAGAAAAAAGAGGAGACGTCCTCCCCAAATCGCACAAATCTTCAAAGGAGAACTCTGAAAACAGGATGTTTGCCAGGCTGTCCCCCGGTCTTTCCCATTGTAAGACACCACCTATGTATGAGGCTCCCGGAGAGGATGCGAGATTCTCTCTGAAATCACAAGAATTAAAAGCAAGACCCACTCTGGAGTCCCTGTTTGCTCTGTGGCTCTGGGTCCCATTGGTCACATCGGAAACTCATGTCTCAGCGTTTCTCCGGGAGGGCTCGGAGACCTTGGAAGGAGCTGGGATCCTGGGGAGACCCCAAGACTCACTGTGGCAGGGAGCCTGGCTGTGGGGCCGGAAGGCAAACACGGCCATATCGGATGTCTTGGTGGGAAAGGGGACCAGCACTAGCCCACTGGGGGAGGAGGACTGGGAGGGGAGAGCGGGGCTGGGGGGGCCAGGTGCTGGAGGGTGCTATTCCCCACGAGGAGGTGGCTGGTGGTAGGTGCAGGTCCAAACCCCCCGCGGCCCCTCGCCGGCGTGTGGGCAGGCTGGAAGCGGCCAGGCCAGGTCTATTCTTAGCCAGCCAGGGGCTGGGAGCAGGCCGGGTGCACAGGGCCGCGTTCCTCGCATTCCCGCTCCCCACGGGGACAAGAAGTGCCTGGAAAAAGGCAGCTGGTGGCTTTGGCAGCACCAGGCACCCAGGGGCCGGCAGGAGGGGCCACGCCGGGCGTACCGCTGGCCTGCTGCACCACCCTCAGGCCTCGGGCAAGGTGGGGTGGCCACGTCCCCTCTGGCCTGGGGACATGGCACGGCGTAGGCTTTCCTAGAGGACAGCAGCTGCCACAGGAACTTGATGCTCCCCCAAAAGTCCCCCCCCAGGCAAGCCCAGATCCTCCCCAACCCCATGGCTCAGCTGTGATCGCCTACAAAGGGGAATAAGGCTGGCTCAGCCCAGTTGACACCCCAGTCCTCCCAGCCCAGCTCTGCCGTTGTCCCTTCCATCAGCCATCAAGCAGGGTTGTCCTGCTTTGCCCAGCGTGGCCCTGGCAGCAGGGACCCCTCGACGTTAATCCCCTGTCCACCCTAGTCCCCGCTTGGACAGGTCCCAGCCTGGCTGGGGGATGCGTCGCATGGGCAGGAGCTGAGCTGAGCCCCCTGCCTGGCCCCACAGAGCCCCCAGCCCTGCACAGGCTCTCGGTCCTGGGGTGGCCCAGCAGCGACACCTCAGCCAGGCTCAGCTCCCACGCGGCAAGTCCCAAACTGCCCCTTCATCCCCTGGCCAGGCACTGCCCGTGCCCCCACACCCTGGCATGGGGGGGAAGTGGCCCCGGTCCACTCTGATGATGGGAACCATCCTCAACCCCCCTTCCCCCCCGAGCTCTTGCTCGAGCTGACGTTTTTCTCCCCTGAGGCCTTGTACGCAGCAAGGAGAAAATTGCTGCAGATTGAAAAGCAATTCAGCTTTGAAGGCTTGACAGTGGCGCGCGTTGCCAAGCCCTTGACGGCCGGCTCTCCTCTCTCCGCCAAGCCAGGGATAGTTTTCTGCCAAATAGATGAGCTGCAGGCACTGCCAGCACCCCCTCCCTGGCAGCCGCGAAGCAGGGCCACGTTCTGCCCTTCGCCGGCTGTCCCTGCAGCATCACCTTGAGTTATTGCAGCCCCGCTGGCGGCCGCCGGCTCACACCATCCATCTCGTGCGAGCGGGCGCCCGGGAAGCTCTGCTTCTCCTCCCAGTCCCTCCGCCGACTCACTCAAGGACTGCGGGTGAGTCACGAGCCCGCTCCGGGCCTCAGTTTCTCCCTCTCTGAAGCCAGGACAGGCAGGACGGAGGCAGCATCGCTCGACGCAGCACTGTGTCAGACGAGCTCAGAGTGTGTGTCTGAATGGAGCCGAATTTGTGTTTAGCTTCGCCTCTCAAATCTCTGCTTTTCATCTTCGTCACCTGCTTGGGTGCCTCATTCGAGGCCTGCAGCAGCCTCCTGAGTCCCAAAAGGGAGGCTGGGGACAGGCAGAGCCCAGATGGCAGGGAGAGAATAGGGGACAGGTTCCAGCCCAGCCAGAAGCTGAACCCCCCCAAGACATGGGGGATGGTGACAGGAGTCCTGCCCTCCTGATGCCACTCTCTCCCCCCATGATGGATGGACTCCCTTCTCCTGAAGGACAAATTTCTCTGTGGTGTGACGGCTGCGGGGAGGCAGCCTTCTCCGCTGCAGCAGCCTGACAGCCAGCACTGCACCAGCAACAGTCCCGAGGCACCAATAACGCTCCTGGCCAAGGTGCCCCAGCCCACGGGGCTGCACCCACCAAGGGAAACGCCTCCACTCAGCATCATAGAAAGCACAGGCTCCTGAGGGTTAATTTTAGCTGCACATTTAACTGTTGGAGATGTTTTTATACTTAGCAGACAAACAGCACCATGGTGAAAGCGTAGAAAGAAAATACCACGATTTGGAGTGGTGGGACGGCCGAGAAGACACCTAAGTCGTGGATTAGACCTTCCCCTTGTAAAATCCACCTACATGTGGCCCCTCCAGGGCCACAATACTGATGCAGATTCCTCCTTCCTCTCTCCCACCCCCAGAGCATCTTCCAACTCTGGAAGAAGTGAGATTTTTCAGGGTAAAACGCAGGTATGAACAGTGCTGGCCAGATGAGACCCCTGAGCCTGGGACATCCCAGTGCAGGGTCTGAGGGCCCATCTTCTCTGCAAATGCATCTGTTCGGGGGACAGACCTGATGGTGCAAGGAGCTTTGGAGACTGCAAAAGCCCCATCTCCTGCTCTCTTCCCTGTTTGCAGTTTTGGTCTAATTGAAGAAATGCGGAGAAATGCCGTTTCCTGATTTGCAAACATTTCTCTCAGCAGGCATCAGCAGGGAGCTGCTGCGGTTGGATCCGAATGGGCACCTTTCCCTGGTGAGCCACTCATCACACACCAGCCATCCCAAATCCTCAGCCCCTTTCACAGGGCTTCAGGGCTGGGCTTCTGCTCCACTCTCCACCTGCTCCCTGGGCCACGCAGCCTTCGGTAACCCACGCTCAGGGCTCTCCTGCCCCTTGTTACCTTGTTTAGCAGCTACTGCACCTGCCTAATGTACCGCTGCATGCAGCCCCTCGCTGGGGTGGATTATAACTCCGTGTAAAGTGCAAATATTTTACTTCCTGCCATTATTATTCGGAATCCCCTGGCTCCCTTTCCGCTGTGCACGCTCCCCTCACAAACCAAACACAGCTATTATTGTACCTGGGCTTTGCACTCACAGATGGCTTTTTATGAATTTATGGTGCAGGACTGGGGTGGGGGGAGGGCACATAGGTCTCCTTTAGCCTGGAAATTGGGTGATTTCCCATTGATTGCCCAGGGTGAGGGAAAGAAAAAAGGATGGGGAGAGAAGCTAAACCTCAAAAACGCTCTCTGAGGAGGAGGAGAGGAAAAAACTGAGCAAGAGAGGAGGAGAAAGGGAGCAGAGGAAGGAGAGAGAGAGGATTACCGATCAGTTGAATTAGAGGGAGCCCTTCAGCTGCCTTGAACAGCAGGAGAATTTGCCCAGAGACCCCAATTCTTCCTATTTGGGATAAAATGTAAGCCCAGGATTAACTGCAAGCATATGCTTAAGTCCTGGTGAAGCCCAGGGAATTGAAAGAAGTCCAAAGCTCCTGAGGAGGGCTGGGAGGCAGGATGCAGACTGGTCAGCTTCATGGATGAACCAGCCTGTGTCGCAAGGGCACACTGTGGGGACTGGAAGAGCCCGGAGGAGACTGGGAGGCTGCTGGAGCTCAGTCAGTAACCCAGGAGAATATGGCAGGGCTCAGCCCCACTGGCAAGGCTGCACGGGGAGGAGGTTTGGTAAGAGAGGCTCTTCCATCAGCCAGGCAGTGGGACGAGACCCACTGGCCAGAGAAGGGGGGGATGAAGTGGCCTCACTGAGGGGGACAAGCTTTCATGACTGGGTACTCCGTAGACCTCAGTCTCGTAGAGGGAATAGAGAAGTCCCCAAGGTCCCAGGCATCCCCCCCATGCTCACATCGTGGACCCAGTCACCTGCGGGGAGGGCTCTGAGCCCAGCTGAAGCCGGCACGTGCCTGTATCATCAGACATATCCTTGTCCACGTGATGTGTTCATGAACATCCAGCATTGATTTATGGGATGAGAGGAGGGCAGGAGGCCAACCTTAAATCCTGACTGCCTGGTGATTAATAATCATAATTATCATTATATTAGCCATAATAATAATAGTTTGCTTTCCCTTGCAGAATTGGTCATCCAGGAATCTCAGAGCAGTTTTACAAGGCTGAGTGACCAGCATCCCTATTTTCTACTGAAGAAATTGCGGCACAGAGCTGTCTCCCTCGAGTCACCCGGTATATCAACAAGAAAACAGAGAAGGCAGGAGCCTGGACAACGTGTCCCTCTCCCTCCCCCATGCTATTAAGCTGCATCTGTGTAATATAGAGCAAAACATCCTCCACGACTCACAGTAAATCACGGCAGAGGCAGCGTGCAAAGTGGATGGGGGGAGATAATGGGTTTTTCACCCTCTCTAACAATGGAACAAGTTTTTCTCTGCTGGGGGAAGGCTGAGTTCCAAGAGCAGCAGAGATAAAAGCAGCACCAGGGCTCCGAAATGGGCTTTCAGAGCACCTGTCTTCGCCCACCCACTTGCACTGCTGGCCCAGGGAGAGGAGGCAGCTCTGGTGGGCGCTTCTGTGGGTCGTGTGCCTTGCGGGGGGACCTGGTCCCTATGTGAATTCCAAAGGTGCACTGGAATATTAATTGAAAATCCCAGCAAAACACTCCTGTCGATGATAATGGACTATAATCCTCTTAGACCAATTTCATGCCTGAAAAATCGTGCATAACAAAACAATAATAAAAAGCCCCTCAGTGGACACTGTTCTTAGCAGTGGGGCCTGGGGGAAGAGGGCTGGCCAGAGGGGATATCTCAGGATGGAAAGGGAGCCGGTCCCTTCAGCCTGCTCCCTTGAGGGGCAGGGACATGTGGGCTCTGGACAAGTGAAACGCTAGGCTTGAACATCTGCTTGGCAGGACAGCATCGCAGTGCCCATCGGGACCCTCTGTGCCCTACAGAGCCCTGGGGACCCCATAGAGCCCCAGGGACCCATCAGGACCCTCAGTGCCCCGCAGAGTCCCCGGCACCCTCCGTGTCCCCAGGGCCT